GCGGTGGGGGGGGGGGGGGGCGTGCAGAAGGCAGCCGATCAATGATTCTCTCTCATCATTGATGTTTCTGTCTCTCCCTCCCTCACCCTTCCTCTCTGAAATCAATAAAAAATATATTAACAACAACAACAAAAAGGCAAATGGCTGTAACTTTATCACTCCACATCCTTATCCCTCAACATCCAACGATCAGCAACACATCCCTAAAATGGTCCCTGCAGCCATGGGCTTGGCTCTGGCACACTGTGAGAATAAGAGTGGCTTCTGCAGCGGCCCTGCCTCCAATTCTTGAGTGATCATGGGTAAGACGCACCCTGCCTGGAGCACACAGGGGCTTTCAAATATGTTTCTCTCTTTACAAATAAAAGCATTGAAGGTGAGGACCCACACCATTTAGGCAGCAACTCATCCCTCAGCCAAAGCACGTCGAGCAGACACTTGGGAACTTACTTTGGGACAGCAGCCCACGTCTTTTTTAACCGGTAGATGGAATTGGACTGCAGTGCCGAGACGATGGCCCTCAAGGAGGAGAAATTCTTCAGGATCCTACATTCCTACATGGAGAGTGATTAGAACAGAAAAGGCATTTAAATATCAATACTACAGTGAGCTGGCCATTTCCCGTTCTAGAGGTATCACAGCTGCTCTGAATTCTTACCATGAAATAGGCAGCTGTATAAATACTGAACATCAAAAAGTGGCTCCTTACTCCCACCCCAGTCACTGAAGCACTTTATAGGTTTTGGCACTGTATGCTTGTTTTTCTCTCCTTTAATATATTTTTTGTGTTGTTGTTACAGTTTTATAGTTTCCAGCTTTCCTAGTAAAAACACGACTGGAGGTGAGTCTGCAGAGCTACGCTAGAGAAAGCAAACTTACTTCTGCTGACAGCACACAGATGCCCTAAAAATACACACGAAAGATCACTGCATCCTTTAGAACCACAGAGCGAGCGGGCCAGCAGCCACTTCAAGGTCAGATGGTATCGAACATCTCATGACCAACCCTCGCCCAGAGAGGTGTATATAACTTGGCAATAAAAATTCACCACAAGTTGAACTTTGGCTCTTATGTTCTTAGCCAAGAGGGAATATTTTTACACACATTCATTTCGTTTCAAATTGGCTGGTGCCACAATCATAAACATTCAGAAACACCTTGGTACTTCAATGTTTCCAAAATAGCTTGGGCTTTTAAAATCAAATTCATTTTGGCAACGCTTGAAAACAAAATAGAAAGAGAACAGGAAGCATTCTGGATGTCATTTTGTGGGGAAGGAGAAAGGCTCCCTGATTCCGAAACTTAAGCTGCCACAGGGAGTCCACAGCCTCAGCAGCCAGTGACTGTGAAGTCCAAGTTCCGCTGAATGAATGGCAAGGACGGCAGGACAGCCAGGGAGAGGGTCCCAGGCCTGGCTGCAGCAGGAGGGGGTCATGCAGAGAGAGGGGACTACGCCTGAAGCCCCATCCACTGTTTGCTGTTCAGGCCGCCGTGAGCATGGGTTTGGCTTTGTGCAGAACATCTGGGGAAGAGGCCTCAGAGTGGTTGGGCATAAATGCACATAGCTTAAAAGATCATTTCACAAAGTAATGCTAATCCTGAATATGAAGGAAAAACAGCATTCTCTAATTTAGCACGCCAAAATCTGGCTACTTAAAACCGTGCCAAACAAACAATCCCTCAAACATTTTCTTTAGAGTAAATGCCAAATACTTTACAGAAGTCATGCCCACTCTTTTGAAATGTCTGAATGCCTTCCCTTTATTTAAAGAGAGAGAGGGAGAGAGAAAGGAGGGGAGGGGGAAAGAGAGAGAGAGAGAGGGAGAGAGAGAAGAGAGAGAGAGAGAATGCTGAATTACAGTCCGTTTGGAAACCAAACATGGTTGGTTCAACGAAGGTTCAGAATCCAAAATTATGTTCTAAAAATCAGGAAACTTGTAATAAATAAAGGAACTTAGGCACAGATATTTCATGCAAATTCTAATAAACATATGGAACACATTATTCTGAAAGAGGCTTAAGCCAAGGGTTTGAAGGAGCAGAAAAGGCATCTGGCTCCATTTCTAGAAAAGGAGGTATCCTTTCAGGAGATATGACACCAAAGTAAAAATGTAGCAGCGAGGCCCGTCCAAGAAAATATAGTCATATTTGGTCAGAAATTTTCTCTGCGTGTAAAATCATCAGTTTTCAAACACTCGCTCAGTAGAAATTGACTGTGATTATAATGCAGGAAAAGTAAAATAAATCTTGGCAGGAGACCAGCTGTGAGCTTCATTATTCTAAGTGAGCCCACACAAGTTCAATGGACACAAGCGCTCAGTATGAGGAAACTGCTTCACCAAGAATAAGAACCCTTGGCTTTGAAATACCATGAAATCTGGAATATACTTCAAATTATTCCACTCGCATTTCTTATTACCACATAAATGCACAGTCTATATTTAATTTGGACCAAAAGCCATTGTTTGAGCCACACTGTTTTATATACAAATGCTGTATTCTTGCTACAGATTTGCTAAGCAGCTGAATGGATTAAAGGTCGACAGACTATTTTCTTTTGAGACATGTAGAAGACTGCAAATGATATGGCATTTATGGCAAAAGTACTTCTTATCATTCTAAGATGACAAATCCTCTCGATCCCATGCTCTTGATCATGCTCTATCAAAACTTGTTTTTGTAGCTCTTACTTGTTGAGAAATAAGCTCAATTCAGAAAAGGAAAAATCGACATTGCATGAAATATTCTTTGTTTCTTACTTTTCTCATATACTAAAATGTCTGTGCTAACAGACCACCTAAAAACGCAAAATAAGGCCAATTCTCTGGTGCAATGATGGCCCTGCTCTTTAATTCAAGACAACTAAAAAGAATGTGAAAAAGAGAGCATGTGAAAATTTAAGCATTATGCCCTATAGACCATGGCTTAATGGAAAAAAATAGATAGATAGATAGATAGATAGATAGATAGACAGACAGATAGATATGGATAAAAAGCAAAATGTGTTTTTGTTGAGGGGTGATCCATATAGCCTAGAATATGAACTAATGAGATATTTACTTAATAATTATTTTTCAAAATTGTAAGTTATATGGCTTTCGCTGAGATAACTTCTTCCTAGGAAAAAAAAACAAAAACTACCCAATCTTCAAATATCAAAAGTCCTAGCTATCATTCAAGCTACATGTAAATGTCACCCTATCCAGGAAGCCTTCCGCGATTGCTCCAGTCAGAGGGATTTCTCCTCTGTCCACTCCTGCAGCTCTTATCTCCCAGCGCCCTGCTCCTCCCCTGCCTGGGCTGAGATCACTCCAGCAATCTTAGCTTCCTTGCTTAACCTGTTACAGACAGACTCCTGTAAGACCAAATTAATTGTGCTTATCCCATCTATGTCCCCAAAATACATAAAACTGTAGTTTATACACAGAAGTTCGTGAAATATTTGGTGACCAACTGACTCAATACTGTTTGCCTTTTCTCAATGATGAGATAAGATAATGATAAGTGAAGGTCACATGGCATATACTAGTAAGGGGTTGATCCAAGAGACCAGACTGACCTTAAGTGAAATGTAATTCAGGCCTACGAATAGACGCTGCCCCTCCAACGTCAGAGATAAGGTTCTCGGAAAAGCCCTGGATTAATGGGAAATCTGTGTATCTCAGTCCTTTAGAAAAAAGATTCAGGATTCTGAGAAAGTCCCGGCTTTTCAAATCTGCTAAAGATAGGGTGCATGGGTAATCACTCTGGCTGAAGCGCAGTCTGTTTGACACTTAGACTATCAGCTTATATTTACTGAACACAGGACAGAACCGACAGCCTGTGACTATGAAGGAAAAAGCAGGCGGAATGTTTCAACCTGAAGGAGCAGCAGTGTGAGGCTCCAGGAGCAAAATGAAGCAAGCAAGGAAAAACAGGAAAAGGAGGAAAAGTAAATAAGCTCCCAAGTTAAGAAAGACAACTTTCTTACTTCCGAAGAACAATAACAATAACAAAACCCAATGGGCCCTCACATGGAAAGGTCTTTCGATGGCCTTTCAACCAGATGGAAACCGTTTAAACACAGTGATGAAGCAGAACCCGATATCGACGAAGCACAAAGAATATTTAAAAAGAGACAATTACATGAGCAATGTTAATCCACTTCTCGATGATTCTGGCTCTCTGCTGAGTTTTGAGTTCTTTGCCCCCCAGGATGGTGCTGACCACGCATTTGGTGAGGGTATTAAATTGAGAGATGGTAGCGCGGATCGTCGGAGCCAAATGTTTGTTTTCCTTCTTATCCCTTTGAGACCAAATGCAGCCCAGGCAGTGGTGAGGCACTACTTTCTTGAATAGTTGCTAGAACAAAAGAGGAATTGACTTTAAGGACAACACAGACATTTCATGTGGCCAAGTACGTCATCTGGGTCATCTGTAAATTGCTATTTTTTTCAATGGACAAATAATCCTTTTCTACTTGATTTGCCTCATGGTGTTCATCTCAATAGACAAAAGTGAATAATTAATACATGAACTGGTCAGAAAAGCCCGCATGTTCTTTCTAAATCTGCTCAAGTGAAGAAACGAAACACAATGACCAAAAGAAAATCTAAATGCCCAAGATCATTTTAACTTTTCTGTCTTAGAAGGAAAGCCAAGTAAGACTCTATGCTTAAGATTATTTTTGACCTCTCATTTTGTAAGTTATATAAATGTCTAATTGCTATGCTGTACACCTGAAACTATAATAATATTGTATGTTGACTTTAATTAAAAAATTAAAAATTTTTTAGATTATTTTGACCTCAAATTCATATCCATGGTGCTTTCTGGGCACTCATGACCATGAATTATGGACTATTATGAATTATCACAATCATTTGGGCTCTTCTGCACTTACCACTTTGGGGAAAGCAATAATAGTCAATAATTTATATGTATTATGAATTGTCTATAATACATATGAAAGCTCAACAACCACCTGAAAAGTGACCCACCAAAATACAATACATGCGACATTCATCGAGGTCACTATCTCACATTATTTATAATGAAGAAGGTAAGAAGCATATAAAGGGTAAAGCTATTCAACGTCAGTCACACACCAAAAGGGATAATGAGGGATTTGAAGCCTGGCTTTGAGGTCTTTGCCTAAAAGTCATAACCAGTGACATTTCCCATCTTTCTCTTATGCTATCAAGAGGAACAATCACAAATTTGTTGAACAAATCAGATTATCATTTGTACAACAATTCAATATGAGATGTCCAGGGTTTATATGAAAAGTGCGAATACCAGGATTGACTTTACACAGACTATCTGTGTTTATTTGCGTGCTCTAGATGGAAACGGCAACTTTTGATGCTGCTTTTCCCAAAGTGGTAAATGCAGAAGAGCCCAGACGATCGTGATAATTCATAATAGTCCTTTTTTCTTCCACGGGTATTTATCAGCTAAGGTTGAGCTACGAAAGGTGGCTGACGTAATCAAACATGTGCAGTTAAAAAAAATATGCGAACTTCAAAGGTGCAAGAAGCCACATGTGGAAATGAGCTGCCAGATACAGTCACATGTGGATTCGGTGGATTTATGTGATCCTAACTTACACTTTGACCCTTTTACAATCTCCCAAATAAACAGTTCAGAACTTGAAATATTTATGAGCTTAAAGGGAGAGAAATGCCCATGGGACAGGGCAGATTTTGTTTCACTAGGATTAAAATTCTTGTTTCCCTCTGTGTATTGAGTGCCAAGGAAAAAGCACCTTCACCCAGAACTGCAAGGAGAACTTAGGCCTGAATTATTCAGATGATTGACTCAAGTCACATTTTCTCCCTGAATTTACAGGCACAGGCTCACAAGGATTTGAAAAGACTTAAATCACTTTGCCCCCTGCCCTTTTTTTTTGCTGGGTGGTAAGCAGAAGCATATCTGAGGCTCAGAGAAGACTTACTGCATCCATATAGGTCAGCTGCTCTGCCACAAGATCCTCTGAGAAGCACGTGAATTCTGCAGACCCTCCGGCCTCCGGTTCCTCTTCCTCTTCCAGGCGGCAGGAGATGGTGTTGGCAAACCCATCTGTTGACAGATGTTGAAAAAGTTAGTTAGTTGGGGCGACTGTATATGACCTTGTTTATGGAGTTCAACTGAACGTCTTTCTCTTAGGAAGGAAAGGGTGATTCCTTTAGTAAACCCATAGGGAGAGAAGAGCAAGCACAATATACCATCTCTGCATGTTCTTTGATTCTTTATCAAGTTTAGAAGCCTCTGCCTTTGACTAACCCCTGCCTGGTTCCTGGGCCAAGGATTGAGCCAGGTTAGGCAAAGTCTAGAGAGAAGCAAAGCTGGGCTCCATTGAGGTGCTTACCCTCATCCTGGGCTCCCTCAAACCCTCTGGTCAGCTCAAGGACTAACCCAACTACTTCCTGAATTCCCAATATGACATACTTAGTTATTGGGCCATTTATGACCTAGAAGGACTGGATGTGAAGGCAGGTCAGGCTTTGGGGAGTAAAATGGGCCAATTTGGTGTCAGAAATGCTGATAAAGTCCTCAGAAGCCTCAACAAGGCCTCAGAATTCTCAAAATGCTTGGAGTAGCTTTCAGCTTCCACCTCAAGTTAAATTTGCATGACAAATATGTTTAAACTAAATTCATCCCTGGCTGGGTGGTTCAGTTGGTTGGAGCATTGTCCTGTACACCAAACAGCTGTGGGTTTGATCCCTGGACAGGGCACATAAAACAGGTTGTAGGTTCGATCCCCTATCAGGGCACATACAGGGGGTGACTGATCACTGTTTCTCTTTCTCCCTTCCCCTTTCTCTAAAAATCAATAAAACATATCCTCCAGTGAGGATTTAAACACAAATACAGAAAAACAACTAAATTCACATTGAGCCTTATTATAGGTAAGATCATCACTTAGCACATCATGGAGGGCACAGGCTGAGTGAGTAAACGTCACTGCAATCACCACCTAGGACTGCAAATCCCACCTGGAGGACTTGGCACACACATGGAGCAGGACCTCTGGGGTCCATGCTGCAGAGGGAGCAGGATGAAGCCTAACCAGCGCCCCCTTCCCTGGAACCTTTTCCTAGTTCCTGGCTGATTCCCCATCTCATCCTCTTCACACTCCTCGCTGTCCTCTCTGTTCAATCTGTCCTCAAGGGAAAATACCCAGAGCTCTATTCAGTTACCTCTTAGCAGAAATGTAATGTGTCACTACTCCCCCAAAGGTTTACATTTTAAGCCTTTCCTTGCTTTCTTTGTAGAATAAAAGATTTCTAGGCCCCGTGGATCGAGCTGCGGTGGCCTTTTCTTAGTTTTCTCGGGGGAAGGGGGTGCTGAGATTGAACCCTACATTGCTTCCCTTATGGAGGTGCCAGCTCTGATGACAGGTATGCGGTTTAAGGCCACCCCTCTCCCCAGAGTTGAAGGCACTGATGCGAGTGGGGATGGGTTATGCGTGGAGAAAGTAGAAGGGGGTCACTGCCTGTTCCGGAGCCTGGGACACACACAGGCACGAGCTAAAGAAAGCTGAAACCCCACGGTTCCACCGCTTGGCTTGCACACAGCCCTGGTGCTCTCTCATTCTGTGGAGGAAGAAGACATTTGAAATCCCGAACCCTCTGGCTAGCTACTATGTAAGTCTGTCTCCACCACTGCAATGCAGAGGCCGACCCACTTCCGCCAAGCGGTGTTCGCGGTAAGGCCTCATCTTCCCTCTCATTCACCCAACACTCCCAGGGGCCTGCCATGGGCCTTGGATGCTGCGGAGATGACATGGTCCTTTCTCTCCGGGCCCAGACCACAGTGCTTGCTGTTGACTTTCCAGCAGAGGCGAAACACATAGGAGAGGTTGTTGCTTTTGCCGGAATGAAATTGGGTAAAAGACGCGCATGGGAACCAAGCTCCTAAAACTCCTTTTCAGTAATGGCTCCTGTACTTAAACATCAGTTTTGAGCTTTCTTGATAAAAAAAAATGTCCAAACTTAGAAAGAAGTCATTCTGGGCTACTGAAAGCCTTCCCAAAGCCTGCCAGTGAGCTCTGCCTTCAGTCCCTGGTAGGACAATGAACGACTGGTCCCACCGGTTCCCCAATTAGGCCCGGAGCCAGGGGCAGCCCCAGGGAGAGCTGGGCTCTAACCCAGCCTTTCCACTGCGCACAAAGGCAGGCGGGGAGGCCCTGAGGTCCAGGCTGGAGGAGCGCCCCTGGCATTCAAACATTCCCGGCAGATGAAGTCATCTGAGATAGGAGCGCTTGGCAGGCAGCTTCCAATGATGCAATTGTGCTTCCCCCTCGCTGGTCCTCCACAGCAGAAAAAGTTGAGCAGGTAGTGTTTGGGATTTCAGGGTATTTTCTTTGGCGCTGAGGCAGCGTCCCTTATCGGTGTGGCGGAACTGTTTCCTTTACCCACTGAGGAAATCGGGCGTCACTTCTGGGACATGCCTGTCAGGAGTTCCAAGTGGGTCAGGCGTCATGGCAACCAGCGCCTGGCACGCCGGTGGGGGTGAAAACATCACGCTGAAAGCTCGTCCTAATCTCTCTCTGGCTTTCTGCAACGCTTGATAGTTCCAGGACCTGCGGTGGTGGCTCTTCCTTTGTCCTTGAAAATAGGCAGTCAATTCTTCAAATAGGAAAAAACAGCCACGGAAACTTCCGCCGGTGAGGCCTTTGGAGACTCTGAATGACGGGAATCTGCCCTGGCAGGGGGCAGATGAACGACAGCGATGCTTTTCGGGGAAGGAGAAACGCCTCTTCCCAGCTTTGGGGAGGGCAGGGGCAGAACTGGATGCCGTTCTTGGCCTGCTGAATGGGGGCTGTTGTGTGGGATGAGTTTCCATTGGATAGGAGGAAGAGCCATCGGGCAGATAATAGAGAGCCAATTCAGGTTCAGCACAGTAACAGAAGATCATCCTCTTTATGATATTAGAAGAAACCCTAGAAAATGACTTCGCTTCTGAGTCCAGCTCCTCCCCTGTAAAACGAGGGCGCCAGACTAGGTGGTCTTGAGAAGCCCTTTGCTCTAAAACTCTAGGGCTCTGGAATTAGGCCTTGGATGACCTTGAGATTTCACCCACCACCAATCCCCCAGCAGCTTGTCCCTCAGAGGGAAGCCCCGGTCTCCTAGTCAACAAGAAGAGGGAGCACATTTCCTCAACACGGCGGTGACAGAATCAGAACCCTGGGACCAAACCAGTACTCACTGTCCGCTTCCACCTCCTGCTTGTGAAACTGCTCAAGAAGGTTCTGTGCTCTTCTCTCTGGGTCAGAGCCTGGCATCATGCGTTTGAGATAGTCCAGCAGTTTCTGTAAGCAAGGGAAGTGAGGGGGCTCTCGGAAGTCCTCTCCACATTGGTCAAGCCAGGCCCGAAGGATAGAGGCGATTGCACTGGAAAAGAGAAATGGGGAGTTACTGCACCTGGCTGGTTGTGGGGACTCAAAACAGGCCCTGGACACCAGGACCAGCCTGGGCATACCCCAGGAAAACATGGGCAGGCGGTCAACAGAGCCTGTGTTATCGTCGGAATTCGCTAGTTAATATTAATAAAGGGAAGAAAGGCCCTAACCGGTTTGGCTCAGTGGATAGAGCATCGGCCTACGGACTCAAGGGTCCTGGGTTCGATTCCGGTCAAGGGCATGTACCTTGGTTGCGGGCACATCCCCAGTGGGGAGTGTGCAGGAGGCAGCTGATCGATGTTTCTCTCTCATCGATGTTTCTAACTCTCTATCCTTCTCCCTTCCTCTTTGTAAAAAATCAATAAAACATATTTTTAAAAAATAAAATAAAATAAAGGGAAGAAAGCAAAGGGAAGTCAGACATTGAGAGCAAGGCACTGGGCAGCTTCACCCGGGAGCTATAGCTTTACACAGCATGGTTCCTCCAAGGGGATTAACGCCCCTCCCTTCCCACAACAGGTACTGGGTTGTTGGAGGAAGCAGGGGGAGATACAGGCACAAGTGCAGTAGAAGCCTGGGTGGCACAGGGGAGGTGCTTGCCTGTCAGTCTAGCCTGGGAAACAATGGATTGGCTAGGGGGTGGAACCCATGAGAAGCGTGCAAAATCTTGGAGAGTTCATTGGTTAAGCTCCTGGTTAAAACCCCAGACAAAGGAGCTCTCTTGCTCCGTGACCCAGACTTGCCTGTGTGTTTGCATTCTCTGTCCATAACCATGTGGCCTTAAGCAGCCCCATGGCCCATGGCCATGCAGACCCCGCACACAATGGACTGCAGCTGGGAACACAAGCTAAGCTAGCCAGGTGCTGGACTGGACTGGACTTTATTATGGAGCAGAAATTCTGGGCAGTGCCCTTAATTCTGTCCCTGCTGAAGACAACGTTGGAGGTTTTCCATGGTGGGGCAGACAGAGATGGGACCTTGGAGGGGAACCCCCTTCGTTTTACATCATCAATAAAGCTGACCATGAAACCCCATTCTCCCGTGGGTGCCTCAGGAAATTCATTCCTCAAGGCACCCCAAGATCTCCACTTCCTCCGGTAACAAAGCAATGCCAATTAAATTAAAGCACTTGAAAACAAGCTGACTACATTATATTATTTTAAGGAGCAGGGTAAAGACTGATAAATTTTTTTTTAAAGGACTATAATCCTTGGAAAAATCCATACAGGGCAGAAAAAGACATGCAGAAGAAGATTTAGTGATTCTTGAAGCAACTTCAAAGCAGTCTGTGCACAAGGAGACTAAGTGTTGCCAATCCTGGATTCACTCAAATCAGAGATCACAAAAGCTACAGCCCTAGCATTTCAGGAATTAACTGACAGTAGGCTAGAAATCCGACTGATTAAAGGGTAAGTGCAAAAGATAAGTGCATAAATTTAATTTTACAAAGATCACCAAGGTTTCAACATAACCAAAAATGTCTTTACAAAGTTATCCTTTTGCTTCTCAAATTACAAGAGAAAAATCTGTTTCGAGTGGGAGACATAGTATGACTAGAGAAGTTAGGTTGTGAACGGTGAAGATAAACTTGGCAAGCAGAGCCATTGAGAAGGTGATTTCTTTTGCGGCTTAGCACAGTGGTTCTCAACCTTCCTAATGCCGCGACCCTTTAATACAGTTCCTCATGTTGTGGTCACCCCCAACCATAGAATTATTTTCGTTGCTACTTCATAACTGTAATTTTGCTACTGTTATGAATCATAATGTAAATATCTGATATGCAGGATGTATTTTCATTGTTACAAATTGAACATAATTAAAGCATAGTGATTAATCACAAAAACAATATGTAATTATATATGTGTTTTCCGATGGTCTTAGGCGAGCCCTGTGAAAGGATCGTTCGACCCCCAAAGGGGTCACAACCCAAGGTTGAGAACTGCTGGCTTAGCAGGTTGACTCCTACAGAACAGTTCTGCACTTCTAAAGGATGGATGAATTAATTTAATTAGTACCACAGTCAGCTAATATTTCTTAATATTTCAGTGAGAGAATACTCTTCCAATGACACTGATGGAAAAATAGGTGTAGAGGGCTAATAATTCACATAATACAATAAAAATGAAAAAACAGCATCCAGCCCTGGCCAGTGGGTCTCAATGGTTACAGCATCGGCCCATGCAGCAAACAGTCCTGGGTTTGATCCCCAGTCATGGGTTGCAGGTTCGATCCCCAGCTTCTGTGGGGGCGCCTGCAGGAGGCAACCAATCCATCCAATCGATGTATCTCTCTACACAATGTTTCCCTCCTTCCCTCCCTCCCTTCCACTCACTCCAAAAAAGCAATGGGAAAAATATCCTCAGGAGAGGATTAACAAAATTAAAAATTAAAAGATAAACAGCATCCAGCTAAGAACAAGACCAGTAACTCAATGACCCCAGTGACCCCTCAGAGCTTCATAAGATTAAAAAAAAAAAAAACCCAGGCAGAAATCCAAAATTACCGGTAAAAAGGCATTACAATAAATTAATATGTCATTTACTCCTTTACCCCCATACTTGTTATCCTTAAAATTATAAAACTGATTATTTATAGACAAAAATGAATATTGCAAATGTGTATAAACTAAAACAGCAAAACATCTACTCCCCCTTCACTCTAATCCCATTCCCGTGAATTTCTGTTAACAGTTTGGAGTACATTCTTTTAGACTTTTCTATGGATATGGATAAGTTTGAATAGCTAGAATATGTATATGTAACCCAGCATGGCTTTTCCCCACAGATCAGTATGTTACAGACACCACTGCACTCACTACCTCTAGATGGTCCCGTTTTTCAGGGCTGCGCAGTGTTCCCTGCACGGAGGCAACATAATTAACATCAGTATTCTCCCACTGGCGTGCAAGTGCTGAGGCTATTTTCAGGTCCTCACAATTACAAGCAACTACAAAGCGTGCATCCTTGTTTCCCTCTGTGTGTGCGTGTGTGTTTCTATAGGGCGCACTCTAAAGAAATTACTTCCAGGGAGAGATGCAGCCCCAGAAGGAAAGGGAGAAGGACTTAGTCCAGATTGGACGGCCTCCTGTTTTAAACCAGCTCTGGTAACCTACTCATTGTACCCTCTGGGACAGTGCAGTCCCGCAGCTCAGCCTAAGAGGGCTTTGAAAGTTCACTACCAACCCAGACAGTGAATCAGCTAGAGAAAGCATTTTCATACAAAAGAGAAACGAAAGGAAGGAGGCGGAAGGAAGAGAAGGAGGGAAAGACATACACACACAGCGCGATGCAGCACGAAGCGACCCTGCCTCCTATCAGCAGCGGCCTATCCACATGCCAGGACGGGAGGCCTCCTGGAAAGGCTGGACCAGGGCCCAAGCTCACAGCAGCTCTGTGCCTGCCCGTTCTGAGAAGAAACTTTCCGTTCTTGATGGACAGACAAGCAGATAAAATGTGCAACTTGTAAGGTTTCAAAAAGGAAAGCCACATCACAGTCATGAGCTACCCCAGGGTTAGTGGCCAGTGGCTTTTCTGTCTTCCCATCCTTGGTTCAGCTCCTGAGCTCTAACTACAAACTCACAGGAAAGTGTGACTGTTAAACCAGGGAAGCCACTGGGCTCTGGACACAAAACAAGAGAGGACACTGGGGAAGGAACGCCTGTGCCCTCAGGGAGGTGGGCAGGTCACGGAACTCCGCTGCCCTGATCTGGAGCAGAGACCTGGTAATACCTGCTTTCCTCTTCCTGGCCGTGGCCACACAGGATTCCAGATGACATGATATCAGTAAGGACATTGGGAGGTATCGGGGGAGAAGGCAGTCCTAAAACTACTCGCCACAAGCCACGAAAGGAAGGCACTGAAAAAGGTAAAATGGCTCAGTGAAGTCAGCACTCATGGAAATCAACAGAAAGAATTTGCCGCCTGTCCCAGAAAGAATGACAAACATACAAACCATGCTACCAATGCGGCTCCAGGCTCCGTGAACAAACCCACCCACACCCACACCCCTGGGGCAGCCTCCTCAGGACCTATCACCTGGGGCACATCAAGCAGTGATACAAATTGCAGGACACGACTCTTAAATGACTGGTGGAAACTGATGGAGGAATTTCTGAAACCAAAGAGATAAACCGAAGGACTTGTATGCATGCATATAAGCATAACCAATGGACATAAGACACTGGGGGGGGAGGCCAGGGGGAGGCCAGGGGATTGTCAAGGGCGGGGGGAAAAAGGACACATATGTAATACCCTTTGTAATACTTTAAGCAATAAAAAAATAAAAAAAAGACTGTGACATAATCTAAACTCAGAAGGGACAAAAGCCACTACATGGCTTCTTTTCCAAAGCCACCTTTGGTGGGTCACAGAACAAAACTCCCCAGTCCCGAGGGGGCACGTACCTCTGAGGAAGCATGCTGGGCATGTGCCAGGGGCAGGGGGCCAAACTTGAGAGCTGAAGGGACAACAGGATTGCTTTTTCTGCCTCAAGCATTCTTGGCAACGTGCAAAACGCTGGCAGTACGTGAACCTTTTCTAACTGACGGCAAATTTCTGTAGAAGGAAGACGCTCATACGTCAATGTGTGCAACTGACTGATGCTGTTCTGAGATACTTCCTTCTAAGAAACAGACCTCTGGGGAGAATTAACTCACGAATTAAAGTGATACTTACTGAGGGCCCCTTGTTTTCCATATTCACAAAAACTAGTTATGTGGTGAGTGTGTCACAACAGCAGAGCCTAGGGTCCCACGGAAGGATTTAACTTCAGAAAGATCTAATCTAATTAGGGCTTCAGGAGGACTTCCCTGAGGATATAATGTTAAAGCTCAGATAGTAAAGATAAGGAAGGGTGAAGCCTGGGACAGCAGCTAAGCAAGGGCCCTGAGGTGAGAGAGAGCAAAATATTCTGAAGGGACATAAAAGAATAGAAATAGAGGAGAGGGCCCAGCTGGCATGGCTCAGTGGTTGAGCATCGACCTATGAACCAGGAGGTCATGGTTCGATTCCCAGACAGGGCACATGCCTGGCTTGATCCCCAGTAGGAGGTGTGCAGGAGGCAGCTGGTCAATGATTCTTTCTCATCATTGATATCTCTCTCTCTCTCTCTCTTTCTCTCTCTCTCTCCCTTCCTCTCTGAAATCAATAAAAATATTTTTTTAAAAAAAGAAATAGAGGGGAAGTATGAATCACAATGAGATTTGCTATACTTATTTGATTTCTTAGCCAAACAGACATCAATCACATTTAGTAACTGATGGTTGGAAACTAAGAGATGACTTAGCTGAGAGTTGCAAGGAAATAGTACAAAATTTTAGCCACATCCAGGGCCCTCACTGCAGAGTAACGGAGCTGAGGTGAGCATTTAGGCTGCTATTATGTCCAAACCATAGATTTTTAATGCATAGAGATTATTTTTAAATCATATTAAAAATCCCATCAGTAGTAAAATATTCTAGAATTGGTAAAATGTTTAATAAAAACTTTTTTAGAAATGAAGTCATCTCTCCCATGATTTGTATGTAACCTCCAAGCCAAGAAATGGGATTACCACACAAAAGGAATAACTGTCCATTTAGAGCTCTTTTCTCTCCCCAGAAATCTGTTTAAGATAATAATTTATTGTTACTTAATCATCAGCAGAAGATAAGACATGAAACTATTTTTCAAAAGCAGCACATGTTTTTCTATTTTAGGACATTCTCCCAGAACTGGACCTTTTCCTAATGTTGATAATGAAGAGGTAAGAAGATCTAGGCTGCGTGCGACCCTGCCGAGCCCTGAGGGTGGGAGCCAATGCACTTGGCCCTTCAGGGGAAAAGAGCAAAGTAACCTTGAGACTGACTCTGAGTGGGACCTTCCGCCTTGTTCTCCTAGTCACAGAACAGTCTTCGGGTTTCAGGGGCGTTGCCGATAGAGGCTGCCTCTGAGACCCCAGCTAGATAGTTTTCTGATGAGAGAGAACAAGGGAAGGGACAGAGATTTTATTTATTTTTTCTTTTTTCTGAAAAAGCCTGGAGTGGATGGAAACATTATTATCTGAACTTGTCAAGGTCGTTTTGCAACGCCTTCTCGTACTTTCCATGGTTCATTTTGGTACTGGTGGTGAGTAGGGATTAGAATACTGGGAAGGAAAGTGAAAGGGGAATTAAGAGAGGCCCCAGGGAAATAAATGCAAACAAAGCCAGAGTGAGAGCTAAGCACCAGAAGGCAAGTACAGGGTGCAAAGCCAGTGAGGGGCTGTGGGCAGTTGAAGAAGAGACAAAGTTCCAGGGCAAGAAGAAGGGAGACGAGGGTGGTGATGGGAAGGACATGCAGAAATACCAGTAAGTAGAGTGGAAAGGGCGGAGAAGAGGAGGAGGTGAGCCCAAAGCCAGCTACCCAAAGTTAAGGGTGTTTACCCACCTGTCGTTCATTCCCAAACTACATGTGCTGGCCCTGGCATCTGGAGGGAAATTTACAGAAACTGAAGAAAATTACTGTGCATAGACTTAACCCCATATCACCAAACCCTACGCACTGTGTCAGTGAGTGACTGCATTCCATTAGAAAAGGAAGAAAGCTAACAGGGCTCCTAATGCCCACTTTTCATGAGCAGCTAAGCACAGCTAAGTCTCTGGAGTGAGACTGGCTGGAATCCTGGTTGCATGGCTTACTAGCTGTAACCTAACTAACCTGTGTCTCAGCTTCCTAATGTGTAAAATGGGATAATAACAGATCCCTCCTCATAGAGTTGTTGTGAGGCCTAGAAGATACAATACATGTGAAGTGTTTAGACTAGTCCCTAGAACATAGTGAGTGCTCAAAAAATATTAGCTATATGTATTACTTTAAACAAGAAGTGAAGTCTGTAAGACTAGGACTAAAGGCATAAGGAACTACACACATGCACCACACTGTAGTTGATGAAAGCTGTTTCCTACTGCATGAGTTAACAACTCTGATACTGCTGGGTATGTATACTGGGATTTGAACAGTTAAATAAATGAATGGCAGATGGGAGAAGCCAGCTTTCTCACTGTTGGAGAGGGAATTTACAAATAAGCAAGGGGAGGAAGCTAGAATAAGCCATGTGGTCATGGACTAGAGTCGGAGACATGAGTAAGAGCTCATGTTTAACAGAATATGGATGCTGATGGCTGCACACAGAAATATTGATAATATGTGTATTTACATAATTAGTACACACATATATTCCCTAGCCCTGTCAGCTGCGAGGGCCTAAAATAAGTGACACCCTAGTAGCAATGAGCACACAGAGCACCCAGATTGTGGTTTCTTATTTCTTTTTTTAAGACTTTTTTATTGATTCTCAGAGAGAGAGGAAGGGAGAAGGAGATAGGGAGAAACATCAATGTGAGAGCGAGACATTGATCAACTGCCTCCTGCACACCCTCTACCAGGAACTGAGCCTGCAACCCGGGCATGGGACCATGGATTCAAACTCGCAACCTTTGCGTGATGGGACCATGCCCAACCAACTGAGCCACACCAGTCAGGGCCAGATCATGGCTTCTAATGTCATTCTCTAATCAAAGCAACTAGGTCTCCTTGAAGAAATGGCTAAGTCCAGGCCTGGGATAGAAAAAAATATAAGATGAGCCTAGAGCATATTGCAGTGCCATAAAGGAAGGAAGGACTCAAAAACACATGAAATAGCTTTTATGAAGCCCAGCAAAATAATAGAGTAAAGGAACCCACAATGACAGGAGCATTTCAAAGCAACACAGGAGTCAACCAAAGACCTCTTGCGGCCGGTTTGACATGCTTATCTAAGAGCTAAAGCTGGAACAATCTGAGCAACAAAATGAATAAAGAAGCATTGTATTATAACCCAAATATAAAATAAATATCTACGAGTCCACACGGATTTAAATAAATTATTGAATAAATTAATAAATGGGGAAGACAAACCTCCCATGCAGAAGTTTTCCGAATAAATTATACACTTTGCCTTAAAAGAGGAAGTACAACTCCCTACTCTTTAAATGTGGGTTGTGCACAGTGGCTTCCTTCCAAACCATATAGTATGGAAAGGACGGGAAAAAGAAGATGTTTTCCATAGAGAAATTTGAAAAATACTACTTCAACCAGGTGATCAAGCCAAAATCAGCAGTCATAAATCATGCTGATAGCCCCGTGACCACGCCGATCTTCAGTGGCATGGGGAATTGTAATTTGACGTATGCCTGGAGGAAGAAGAGAGCTGGAATATTTGTAAAAAGCAATATGATACTCCCCATGCTTTATTTAAGTATTGTGTCAAAATACACAGAACTTGTTTTTGAAACTCTTAAAAAAAATCATGCTGATAGCCTGTATGCTTGATATCTTGTGATGAGAACAGCATTTTATCTGTTATTTCTTTCAAAGCCTCATAAACTCAGTCTAGTTATGAGAAAATTGTCAATCTAAGTGTGATAACAAGAAAACAAAGAGGTATCCTATAATACACTTGACCAGTGCTTATCAGAACCATTAGGTCATCAAAAACAAGAAAAGCTGAGAAACTATCAGGGCCAAGAAGAGCCTAGGGCAGTGATGGCGAACCTATGACACGCATGTCAGAGGTGACACGCGAACTCATTTTTTTGGTTGACTTTTCTTTGTTAAATGGCATTTAAATATATAAAATAAATATCAAAAATATAAGTCTTTGTTTTACTATGGTTGCAAATATCAAAAAATTTCTATATGTGACATGGCACCAGAGTTCAGTTAGGGTTTTTTAAAATGCTGGCACGCCGAGCTCAAAAGGTTCGCCATCACTGGCCTAGGGAGACATGACGACTAAATGTAATGTGGTGTCTGGGTGGGATCTGGGAACAGGAAAAGGACATTCGGTAAAAAATAAGGAAATCTGAATCAAATATGGGCTGTAGCTAATCGTGTGTCAATATTGGTTCACTTATTATAATAAACAAACTATACTGACGTAAGAACAATAGGGGAAACTGTCAGGGAGGCATATGGGAACAGTGCTATCAGCTCAAATTTTATATAAATCTGTTGTAAAAAACAACACCGTCTTAATTTAAAAAAAATGGATGAACAAGAGGGTCCAACCTACGTACTTATGAGAAATATTCCCATTTTCACCACAGGGAAAGAAGTAGAGGCCACAGAGCATAGAGGTTAAGGCCTGGGTTAAATCCCAGATCTTTCACTTATTCACTGTATGACCTTCGACGTATGTGCTCCTTAAGCTCTCTATATCTCAGACTCCTCGTCTGTAAAATGGGACTATTAATATATACATAGAGTTATGATGGGACTATTAAAGGATATATAGAACTTAACAGAGCGACTATTCCTACTAAGTAGCCAATGAGCTCTAGCTATTATTATTAGAAAAGGATATTGCCAACTCACCAAAATTATTTTTCTGGGATCTCAATAACTCACTATTCTCCAATTCTGCACAGTCTGAGA